TCACAACGATTCAACCGTTGTACGCTCTGGCCTTCTTCAGGTGATTGGAATTTCGAACCGAACATTTTATTTTGCCCACGGGGGTAGATTGTTCGAGTTCCACGTGTCATGCCTCTTCTGGTTTGTCTCAATTATTACACTTTAACTCAATCTCTCCACGTTTTTTGGTTCACCACTGCTGGGGTCTGATATTGAACTTTTTGGGTTTAGTCACTGGATCTAACAAACGTCTTTATCCATTGGGTCACTTGGAGAGTTGAGTGAAAGGGAAATAACTGAGACATCTGGAAGAGGCATGGCACGTGGAACTAGAAAAATCTACCCCGGTGTATGAAATAAAGGGTTCGGTTTGAAATTCCAATCACCTGAAGAAAGCCGGAGCGTACAACTGCCAAAACGTGAATATGTTAATGAAGATGCGTATAACAGTCCGAATAATGTAAATAATGCAATTAATCATAATACCTCATCTCAGAGATATAGAGGTCGAAACGTTGTGAATATGGCAATGAAGATGAGGAGAACAGTGCGAATAATGTAAATAATACAATTAATTATTTTTATATTAAAAAAAAAACATTTTTTTAAAAAAAAAATGCTTGGCTTCTATGTCTAAGTCAAGTCTTTGTCATTTGATATTTTAAACTGGATGCTAAATTCTTTAATCTTTAAGAAGGAGGGGATAATCCTAACCCATTTGGCTCCTTCAGGGATTTAAATCAGTCATTATTGTATCTCTAAAAATAGCAGATTCTTCATAAATCCATTTAAATGAAAACTGTACCGCTAATCTTTTTTTAGGATGCTAAACCAAAATTTCGTATTTTCAAATTTTATGACTAATTTTTCCTTTATAAAATTTATAGTGTGACCCAATTTTTTAGTTATTCTATAAGTGCGACCTGAAGTATAAAAGGTTGAGAAACACTGTATCAACCATTTTGATCGTTCGGTTAATTATCTACTAAGTTTGTTTATAGTGAGACGAAAAGGATCTCTGACGAAGGTACAAGAGTCATGGGTTCTTCCATCAAGAATGCAAGTATCAAATTTTTGATTTCTCATTGGAATTGGTTACGAATTCTTCGAAAAGAAATCTTTTCGTTTCTGCAATTTCATCTCGTTCTCTTCAGTCTCAGCAGCGCTTTTTTCTGGGAACCAGGTAGGATTATTCTGAGAGTCATGGATTGTTTCTCTAAAATGGCGACCTTCGAGACAGACGGGCCTAAAGTTAGGACTAATTACTTTTCTGTTTATTTCTATCTAAAACAGGCATGGGCAACCCTTTTCGAAATGTGAACCGCATGGTCTATGGCTCATAGTAAGGCGGTCCTCACTGCTAGAAAGCTTCAAAGTAATTTTTCGTAATTTTCACTATCGAAGTCCATATGCGTAAGCATATACCTTAGAAATGAAAGAAAAAATGTTTTTGATTCTTTGGAGAAAAGATTTTCGTTAATTAAAAAATTGACGTCTTGGTCTAATATTATCACTGATGACGGTGTGAATCATGTTGTGTATAATTTAATTCTAATTAATTTATTTTAAAATAAAAATATATATATAAAATAGAAAAAAATTGTTACGAATGTTTCCTGTTTTAAGAGAAAAAAATCGTCTTCCTTAGTGAAAATCGCCAATGATTTAAAATGATAAAAAACCTTACTTTCACCGGAAGTTTGCGAAATTCAAGAATTTTTTTTATTTAATCATTCATTAAATTTTTACTTAATCGTACATAGATTTTTTTTAAAATTCAAGAACATCATTTAATTACTTTGATCCATTAGACATAGAATAGTGTCACAGATTTTACAAGATGACTATTTATGAGCGTTCCCAAGTTTAAAAATTAAAAAAAAAACATTTTTCTGTTGTATATATACATACATACATACATATATATATATACTTGTTACAAAATAAAAACCTTGCATTTGCCTTGATGAAGTCCCTCAGAGGACGAAACGCGTCGGTTAAGTTTTTCGGTTTATTTTTAATCACATTGTTCTTTCACAGATATACTCTATCTGAAATTTAACACACACAGACATTATTAATTTTTTGCCGACATCATCAAATTTTTGCATTGAATAATTAGCATAAAAACTAACAAACAATAAAATAATTTTTAAAATTCATATTCCTAATAAATAATTTAAATTCCCTACCAAAAAAGATAACACTTTATGAAGTCGTCAAAAAACAAACGATTTACGACAGTTTTTATATACACAACACCCTTTCAGAAAAAATCTCCATAGACACTTAACCAGACTAGACGATGTCATCTTCCGCTTTAAATTTAGACACCCCAACCTTACCCTGACTTGACATCTGTGAATGTAACTGAGATATTGATACAAATTATTAACACCTTACGCCCCTTTTCTTTAAAGAAGTGCTCTAGCCGTTACCATAGAAATTTTGATTTTAATAACGAATATGCTAAAACACGTAAATTTCAGAAATAAGTTATTCCAAAAAAAATTCACTTGAAGATGGAACAATATTTTAATTCAATTTAATTCTAATAATTATATTGAAGTTTTCGGCTCTTGTTTTGAAACATGAGAACTATTATGTAGCGTGTTGGAATCATATTTTTAAATAAATATATATATATATATATATATATATATATATATGAATGATTAAGTAAAAATAAATATGCATGTGGTGATGCATGAAACAGTGTGCGAGTGAAGAAGTGAGAAGGAAACAAAATTATCAGAAACGTTATTTCATTTATGGCATTCTGCGTGCCATTCTGAAAGGCTAAAGGTGCCGTTGATTGCCCTTCACTGATCTACAGTGTATTTCGTATTTGGTTAATGTTCTGAGCTTTTCCAACTAGCATGATCTTTTCGGTGTTACCTGTAATTTCATCGGCGTAGGGCCATTTTACAATTATTGCCAAGATAGGGACACATCAGTTGAACATACACATCCCGCAAATTAAGAAACCTTGTACGGAAAATTCGTTTTCCACGGAGGCAAATTTTAAAATTAATTAAAGAAGCCCCAAGTCTGTCAGTTTTCAATGAAACTGCCAACTTAATGCAATCAATTTCTCAGATCATTGGTTAAAAATGGCTTTGAACGAGTAAAGCATGTAGGTATTAACGAGGACCATCCTTCCCTTTTTGACGCTTCAGAATAAAAAAAAAGGACTATACATGATAAGAGAAACTGCATCACTTAAAGAATTTCAACAGCAGACACAACTAAAATAGATATCACATGTAATTCGAAGAGAAAATTTCTGATCATTCACGCGACTTCAAACAAAAAATTAGGAAGATCCCCATCAGTAACAGAAATAGCGATAACAGTGGACTTGTAAAATCTTTTTTCCTTTAAAAGTGTTTGAATAGAAATATTTTACAAATTATAACCGGTGCTAGAACTAGTCTCTCGTTTAATGAATGCTGGATGTTTCCTTATAAGGAAACAGTCAATATTAACATTATCATTATCAAAACTAGATGTTTCTAGAAATTTAAGAAGTACTTAAGTATCCAATTTCTTAATATTCTCTGGCATATGTATTTTTCTGACAGAAAATAGGAGACCAGAATGAGTTAATTGTGAGAATGATTTCCCTCGCCTACAGTTTAGCGCTAAGCAAACAGAAATCAATTTTACGATTCAAATGTTGTTTAAGTTACCAGCTCAAAAACTTGTAAGTAATCAGAGGGCCATGTATTTTACTGAGTAAATATATATTGGATTCGCTACTAAGGATAGAAAATAGAATTATTTTCCTTCTTCTGGGCTGATCAAACTGGAATCCGTTCGTTGTTTGCAAACACAACATGGATTTTAAAATTCAAATCTTTGGCGAGATCGTTACCCACGAAATAAAACCATGAACCAATTATAACAGTAATCAAATTTTATTCGATAGTAACCGTCTGCTGTGGACGAGCGAGGCAAGTTAAAGGGACAAACGGGTGTGTCCTACATTTCGTGTCGCGGGGAGCGGTCTCATGTGACTTTCTCTTGCTTTTTGCTCTGAGGGGGTGCACTGCCTTATAGAGATCGGTGTTCTTTGTTTTGTCAGCTCTGTCTTAAAAGTAATTCATCAAGAACTCAAGGTTTGGATTCACTCAATGATCTTCTTTGTCAGGGACATTTGACCTGGTTCTTGGAAGGTCCACTTAATTAAGCTGACCTTACCAAGACAATAACTGTCGAAACAATGTCTGTAACGCCTTTCAAATGATATCGGCTGACATTCATATCGTTACAATTAATTAATCCCTCTTTCTTTTCCTTGTTTTTAACAATAATTTCCTAGCTTTTAATATATTATTTAACAAACTGTTCTGCTCAAAAGTTGTTTTTTAACGTCTAGACAGTGGGGTGAGACCGATCTTTTCATCACAGATTCGTTTCCTCCGCTAAGTTGGGTTGAACTAAGCATTTTCTAAGCTACCCGTTCTAGGAATACGGTGAAGCCGGTGGAAGCAGGCGGATGTAATGCTGTTGCTGATCACTGTCTATATTAGAATATTTAGTTAGCACTGCTTCCGTATGAGTTCTACAGCAGAAAGAAAGGTTAGGATGCTACTGCAGGGAATTTGGCTAATGCCTCCATTGTACTGCTTCGGATTTCCATGGGATCAGATGTTAAAATAGTTTAGCAGAATGTTATTTTTAGGGAACGTGTATCTTGGCTCCGATTTTCGGAGGTTGACATTCGGGGTCAGATGTAAGCCATAATAGGGAAGTCAATTTTGATTGTCTGAGCTAACGTGGGAAAGATAGATAGAAGAAAATTTTCAGTGTTGGTTCCGTCAATTGATGTAAACGTGTTTGTTTTCGTATCCGAAACGGCTACCTAGAGAGAGAGGGGGGGGAAACCCCCACTGGATAGTTAGACAATGTAGATGTCGACATGATTCTCTGTGTTTGAAGTCTTTCATTGCTGAACTAAAACAATTAACTATCGCCGGCTAAGAGAAAACGAGACAAGATCATCCCCACCAGGGAACTATGCAACACAAACCAAGGAGTGCTGCGGTGAGTGCGCGGCGACAGTTTGGCACCATAATCCAGCGCAGACAAGAAGAAGAAAAGAAGATTCAAAGTCCTGTGTGATGGTGGAAAGACGGTAGCATTAGGCCTGAGAGCCTGGTAAATGTTAGTTCGAACTGTGAGCATAGGCGACTAAAGTAGGATAATCGAATCCTAGTTGACTTGCAGGCAGTTCTAGTATTAGGTAGATGCTCCAGTGCCTAGGAAAGCTTTATTGAAGAAAAGGTGAGGGAAAATTCCTTGCCTATGTCATATTCTGCTCAGCTTTCTGCAGGTGGACCTTCAATAGAAGCAGTTCTATTCTGAAGGTTGCCGCCTCAAATCTCCGGACTCTCCTGGAGTGAGATCACTCTTCACGCCCTTTTCTCTTCGCCGAATACAACGGGTGATGATATTTGTAACATCATTTCTTTCTGCCTGCTTCATAAATATGGCCTCATACCAAACTTGGCTTTACCCAATAAACATGGCGACAACTTAATACAACAGGGTATAAAATCCGTCCAAATACCTTCAAATACGACGCGAAAAGTTTTATAACTGCCTCTAATAATTTACGAGTCAGCGAGGTGAAGATTGAATTTCTTAACGCAAAACTAAAATTTCTATGGCCGATATTCTAAATAAGATTGTTAACGAGAATATTTATTTTGAATGTAGATTTAATTTGCCTGTCGAAAGGTTTTGGCATTGAGAGACTTTTGCGACTAACATTTACAGACATGATTTTGAGAATTCTGGTAAAAATTCAAAGTTGATTATTTGCCCATAAATATCCGGTTGAACTTAACATTTGTCATGTTCAGAACAGGTGAAACCAGACAAGAAACTTGTGCAATATATTCAATAACGCACCTAAAGAAGGTCATGGTTGCTTTGATCAAAGGTCGCGTAGCTTTCGGCAAAGTATATGACTGTCTAATTGAACTTCGTAGAATCAGCTAACCAAATATGCGTTACTGAATCTCCTAAATAACATATAATTTTTTTTACAGCGAGGTTCACATTTTATGAGGCTCGCGGGTCACTCGAGGTAGACGGTTACGTTTGGGAGCCATTTGTGTGTATAAGAGTTCAAGGTTAGACCTTGCCTTGAACATGTTAAAATTGGAGAGATCGGGGAAACACCCAGTTGGGAGTCGGTTCCACAGGGCAGTGGTTCGCGGGAAGAAGCTGCACGAGTGGAACTTACTTTCTCACTGATGGAATATGGAGGGAATCTGGGTGGTTTTCTACTATATAAGTGGTATGGCGTGTTCTTACTTAGAAGGCTTGCCTCAGTGAGACCAAGAAACGTAGTTCATCCGAGCCCTTTCCTTGGAAGTAGCGACAGAGCTGCGAAAGACGTGCTACATCCCAGCTACGGAAGAGAGTTTGAAGGATGGAGAATAATTCATCCCCTACAAAGGCCCAGAGACGCTTTTGAACCCTGTCAAGACTGTGGATTTAGATCTGGGTAGCACCTCCCTGAACAGTACTCCATTTTTGGCCTGATCTGGTAGAGGATAGCAGGAAGACTTAATTAATAACGTATTTACTGGAACGGTACAGAGAGCCGGTAATTTTATCCTTAGCGAGGTCGGGTGTGGGTTTGAGGCCCGACAGTCTTTCAAAGTACGCTGCTCCATCGAGAGGACCTCTGTTCATCCTTATTGCTGCTACTTCGGGATCAGATCAGCGATCATGGAATGTAACTAGCTTGGTCTTCGAAGCATTGAATGCAACCAGCCAGTTTTTAACCCAGTGGATAGTTTATGCGAGATCGGAAGAGAGATCAGTCGCTAATTTCTGACCATCTAGAATTTTAGCAGTGCTCCCTTATATAGTCGTATCATCAGCATAGATGTTTACAAATGATCTGAATATATTCTTAGGCAGATAACTTTATGAAGATCAAAAATAGGGTTAGTCCGAGGAATGACCCCTGGACTGAACTTTCGGACTCCAGAGGGCTGGTCATTAATAACTACTTTCATCTAGGGATCTACCTGTTAGGAAGGATTTTATGATCGAGAAGATTCTTCCGGTGATTCCATGACTGGAGAGCATGTGTAGTAAGCCTTTGTTCCACTCCTTTTCGAAGGCCTTTGAGATATCTAGTGCTATGCTCCTCGGGCTGTGTTTGTCATCAAGAGCCTCACTGATTCTGTGAGTGATGGTAGTTAGGATATCAGCAGTGGATCGGGCCGACGGAAACCAATACTGCTCGTCGCTGAAGCGTTCTTTTCTAGCTGTTCAACGACCTTATTAATGTGCTGATGTGGTTTTGAAGATGGAAACACTTTCGGAGAAATAAGAAAAAACAATACAAAGAATGCAGATGATGGTGCGTTACAAGAGATTTGGACTATTTTCCATACAACAAGGGCAAAGAAGATCCAAAGTCCTCTTTAATGGTGAAAAGATGTCAGACCCACTTTAGACCTCGGCACGAACAAGTACAGGAAAATAGAAGGAGATGTATACATATAGTCTCATTGAGCTTATTTAACAATCCTGAGAGAACTAGAAGGCAGACCAGGACTTATTATCGGTGGACATAATCTTAAAATGCCCGCTTTTCGCGTTTTGGATACACCAGTTCCTAATCCAATTCTAAAGGAGTTAAACGGGAACTTCGCTAGAAGAACATTCTGTCGAAATCAGAAATCGACTGTTTTATTCACATGCAAACCTCCACCTTATAGATAGCAGTTGATAAAGCTGTCAGCTAAAGAAATACTAAATTTTTGGCTGGTATTTGTATTCTTTGAATATTAGCTCAAGACCCAGGGGGGTTTCCCCCAGGCATTACTTCTCCATCTTAAAGATGGGGGTGGCTTTATTGCAGAGTGTCTGAGGCGTTTTCTAAAACAGGAAATACTGAGGAGGTTTGGTAATTTTTGCGCGGTATGGTCGTTAAACCCACTTTAAACCTTGACCTTGTGTCACATCTGGTTGTGACGTTGACGCTCTGGTAAATACCACAAATCTTAACCTTGAAGACGAAACCTCTAGAGAGACTAGTGAATACATTTAACTAATTATAGTTTACAACTCAGACCATGTACAACGAACATTTAAAAAATAGCTCAATCTATAAACTCTGACAAAAAAATGAATACCTTCAATATCTGTCTATATCTCTGAGATGAGGTATTATGATTATTTATATTATTTGAACTCAAGAGCACATGGTCCAGTGGATAAAAGCGTTGATTAGATCCAGTGACTGGACCAAAGAATTGTGAGTTCAATACAAGGCTACAGCAGTTGTGAATCAAAGAACTAGGAGAGTTGAGTTAAAAAGGAAATAACTGAGACATCCGGAAGAGGCATGGTATGTGGAACTAGAACAGTCTACCCCGGTGGATGAAATAAAAGGTTCTGTTCGAAATCCCAATCAAGAAGAAGAATCCTGAAGAAGGCCGTGTCGTACAACGACCGAAACGTTGTGAATTTGGCAATGAAGATGAGGATAACAGTCCAAATAATGTAAATAAAGTAAACTAAACATCCTGCTTGCAAACAGTAGATGTAAATACATTGGACGACCCGATTGACAAAAAATTCCATCTGGTATAAAACAATCCCCCACTACAAATAGCGAAAGTTGCTTTCCAAAAGCAAATCAATGTATTAAGAAATTTATTTATTTAGTGCGGATCGTTTGTGCAAAAGGTTTTATACGATGTTTTTTCCATCAGGGTAAAAAATATTTTACGTTTTAATTCAAATAACTTTCGAAAAGCGAGCGAATTTATCTGACAACCCGATATTTTAAGTAACGCATATTTCAACGAAGTCGTGACAATAAAAACTATTTTGCGTGAGGGCAGCGAAATTCATTGAAAAAAGTGTAAATTTCATTATTTAGGTAAAGTACAAACTTTTCGAAAAAGTCTAACTTTATGGAGATACACAGTTTTTACATAGATTTCCAGCTAAACTTTGGAAGACACGACAAAAAAACAAAAAAAAAAATGAAAAAAAAAATCAACATTTATTATTCTTTTGTAAACGTCTCTGTAGTCTGAGAGTTTCTTGAACAATTTCTTTTGCCCCGAGGTGTCAGCTTCATAACCTGTCCATTTAGCTTACTGGCATTCTTACTTATCTATAATTTACTGCATTTATTGCATGAAGACAACCTTCCTTGCATCAATATATATGAAAATTTGATTGGACATAACCTCCAGGAGCCATAATCCTACGCATAATGCTTATGAGAAAATTACAAAGATCCGCCCGCATTCATTGTAAAACTTCTTGGAAATAAAACTAAGACAATGATTCAGTTCCATAGACTCTAAGCACTAGGATATCTCACTTTTATAAAAAAAGATATTAAAGATGTTAAATTTCTTTAGAAGACGCGTAATATAGTGTGTTCCAATAACTTAGATCGATTTTAAATGTAAATTAAGTTTAAGCGCCTAATTATTTTATTCTTTTTCTTTCAGATTTACCAACTTAAGTCTTTGGCAATTTCAACCATGGAAAGATTAACAATCAAACAACGTGTTAAAGTTATCAAAGCCTATTACGAAAATGGACGTTCAAACAGAAATGCATTTCGCATTTTTTTTGGTCAACATAATCGACCAACCCAGACTGCAATTGGAAAAATTGTTCATAGATTCAAACATACTGGGTCGGTGGCAGATGTGAAAACACCATTGCATGCTCGTTTACGCCGTTCAGCTAAAAACATTGTTGCAGTGCTCGAGAATTTGGCCGAAAATTCAGATAACTCTTTTCATCATCGCGCGCAGGAATTGAACCTCTCCACAACAACGTTACATCGAACGCGCAGGAATTGAACCTCTACATCATCGCGCGCAGGAATTGAACCTCTCCATAACAACGTTACAAAAAGATTTGTCTGTACACGCTTACAAAATTCAGTTGACACAAGAACTGTTGACCATTTGGGGCGCCGTACACTCGTCAATTGGGTGCATGAGCAAAGACAAGCTGATGAAAATTTTTTGCAAAAATATCCTCTTTAGTGATGAAGCCCATTTTCATCTAGGTGGATTCGTTAATAAGCAGAATTGTCGGATTTGAGCTGATGAAAAGCCAAGGATGATTGTTGGAAAGCCATTGTATCCAAAAAAAGGTGACTGTTTGGTGTGCATTTTTGC